TCCATAAGTTGCAGAAGACAAATCAGATGAAGACTAAATCAGCTACAGAAAAGCGAGAAGAGACAGCAACAGAAAAGTGAAAGCGGCAAAATCAGAATCTTGGGCAGACTATGGAGAACAAGTAGCAAAACTATGCACTGTCACCACAAAGGTTTTACAGAAGTGTCATGGTACTACCAGTACGAATGTGGCATAGGACGTAATGGACGTAACTGGACAGGAAAGTGCAAGAGGGTGAGGCAGTGAGATTATTTCAGGCGGCCAGGATGCGAGCTATACTACGTAAAGGACCTGCTTATAGCGAAGTGACACGAAAGTCACTAACATCACCATTATTCTGATATGCCCTTGCCGATAAACGTAGGCGGTTAAGGTTCGCCATTTCACGAGAACACCAGAGTGAGAGTTTACTGTAAGGTTTGTGCTCTTGTGTTACCCCATATTATGTAGACAATCCAGGTATATGTCTCTGTTTTTTTTCTTCTTGCTTTTTGTGATTTTTTTTTTGACATCTAAAAAAAAAGCCGAATGTGAGGGGGGGGGGGGGGGGGGGGGGGGGAGAGAGAGAGAGAGAGAGAGAGAGAGAGAGAGAGAGAGAGAGAGAGAGAGAGAGAGAGAGAGATAGAGAGAGAGAGAGCATAACTCGAATAGAACTTTCGGGCATTACCACAAGTTTTTTTCTTGCAATATTATAGTGCTAACCCTAGTTGCCAACCATATACGATTAGTGCACTTTAAAATGTACAGAACCTTTTAATTAGACCGCTGTTAATACTATATCACTGACACATCTGACATCGTTTATTTTGCCATCTCCCGGATCTTAACCTGCACTGTTGGTGACCACTGACTGCACTAGCTAGTAAAAAAAATGACACTTTTCCACGTCTTTAGGCGTATAGGGCATATAAGGCTAGACCTATATTTTATAGACCAACGGCACAAGATGGGTGATGTGGTCAGCATCACGCCGGCCGCCTCTACTTCCTGGGACTGCACCCGGTACCCACTCAAGGCTGGGTCGACCTGGTAGCCAAGAAAAGTCCGGCTCCGCCAGGGAGCGAACCCACGACCTTCCGATCCTCGGCGTGCGTCTAGCCGCTTCGCCATGGCGACTCCCTCACTAGCTAGGCTGGTCTAAATCCCCAGGCTCATACAAGATCTATCGTCCTACCCGGATCTAAAATGTGGTATAGTTCCTGTCTTCTTAGTGCTCACTGGTTGTGAGCTGCTGTGGAAAGTTCTTGTTGTTCGTCCACTTCTGGACTTTCACCTTGCTCCAGAACTTGAGTTCTACTTCTGAACTTGTCGACACTGACACCGTTGTTGAAATCAAAGCAAAGTTGCCTGCTGCCTAATTGTATGCAGTTAACTTCGAAACTTAAGTATGTTGTAATTATGAAACTGACTTGAGCGTTGTGAACGCGCTTTGTTATTTGAAGGTGTCGGGTTTGATTCCTGCTGCGGGGGATTTGGCAGCAGACCGCCTTGAGTCGGTTTTACTAGTGGTAACGATCGCTCACGTTTAGAAAGCAATGGTAAACTACTTACGTAAAACTGGCTAGTAAAATGATACGCACCTAAAATATGTAATATTTATTCTGTAAGGTCCTATAAGGGATACTTAGTAACATTCTACTGTGTATTTTGTTTTTCTTTTTCTTTTTTACATTACTTGTATGCAGACTTTTGACTCCTCTCCTCCCAAGCAGATGCTCTCTGAAGGTTAAAAAACAACAACACTTTTGTCGTCTTTCAAAACATACTTGAGGGTGGGGGGGGGGGGGGAAATGAATCTTACCCTCCCCCCTCCCCCAGAGGACCCCGGAAGTCCCTCCCACGGGATTTTAATGTCGGTCCCAGCGGGGATTTCCCTTCAACTCACACGGTGGAAGGAAGTATATGCAGTAACGATAGTTTATGTCGGCCCAACTTCTCTACAACTTCATTGGACTGCAAAAGAACATACATCCCACCCGGCCTATCCTTCAACGGTACACTCTTTGAGACTAATGCAGATCCATTTCTTGACTTTACCCCCTTCCCCCCTTTTCCCTTAGTAACTGTTTACCTTTTTATCTCTTTTCTTCAACCTTGTCCTCGTGTGTGGTTAAAATAAAATAAAAAATAAAAAATTAAAATAAAAAAGAACGAAAGCAATATATACAAATTGGCCGAAATATAAAAAAAATGTTTGGTGTCTCTTTCAGTAACTTTACTTTTTTTTCACCAGTGTCGTCAAAACTTTTGGTTTTTATAGCGTTTGTTCCATGGAATATGATCCACATTTCTGTTTCCATCGACTGTTTAAGTTTCGAATTGTTTGTTTGTTTGTTTCGACAGTGGTATCGAAAAGCCGACAGTTCAGTAGAAATGGCTAACTCATCATCATCGTGTAACAGGCCCTATGCAGAACGTCGCTCTCATCACGGTCTGCTTGAAAGAAACTCGGTATCTCGCCAGCTCTCCCGCCTCATGCACTTTCATACTCAAGGAGTCACTTATGTTCTGTGCCCATCTTAGTATTGGTCGGCCCCTGCCCCTCCTTCCTGGTACCATGCCTTCTGCTATAATTATTTTCCAATTCGCCGTGGCGCTTGACATGACCAAAATATTTCAGCTTCTGAGACAAGATGCTATTTATTAGCCAGTCTTTACTGGACGTAAATTTGCCTAGAAGAACCACAACAGCCAATGCTGGGGTTGGTTCTGCAACGTCCAGTAAAGGCTATACAACTAACTTTTAACACTGTACAATGAAAAATGTCTGCAGACAGTCTACACCCCTGTCCTTCATCTTTATTAATTAGCTAGTATTTACCTATTTTTTATATCACATTGCATGCTGAATACATTGTGTATGCTGATCACATTTCAGGTTGTTTCCCGTCAACGTTCTTCACAAGTACAATAAGGTCTTGTTCTTGTGTCCTTATTCATTTTTACAGTTCTCTCCATGCTCAGTCTCTGAGGGCTCAGGTGGCTTGGCCCCACTTGGAGAATAGAGGATGGTATAAACTCTAAGGACATACTCTATAGTGAGTTACAGACGGTTAGAAGAAGAAGGCTAACCTGGTCAACAAATGCCCGCAGAAGTCGCATGTGTTGGCTGAAAGGTGCAAATATCGCAACCATGCTGTAAACGGACACAAAGCAATTACATCTTCGGATGAACGCAGAAGAAGAAGAAGAAGAAGAAGAAGAGAGAAGAAGACTAGAAAGAAGAGAAGAAGAAGAGAGAAGAAAGAAGAAGAAGAAGAAGAAGAAGAAGAAGAAGAAGAAGAAGAAGAAGAAGAAGAAGAAAGTGTACAGCTTTGCCTCTGTTACTTTATAAAGATGTGTGCCAGGGAAACATAAAAAATGCCGGTACTTGGGTAGATTTATGGGAACAAAATACCATGGACAGTGTTGCTGGAGGGAGCAAATCAGGAGGGAATAAGAACAACGGGAAAAAAAATGACTGCAGAAAGGATGAGAGCTGGATGTCTGAGAAGAAGCATACTAAATACACGTGATGACATAAACAGTCCCCAGATCCTATGCTATAATTGTGAAAGGCTTTTCTTAACGCGTGCGCATCATTTTAGTCACACTCGCCATTGCCATGGGCTGCGTCTCACGCCTTCTCAAATCACAGTACAGTATAATACTATCGTCTGGAAAGACGCAAAGATGTCAACAATATTCTGCTTTGTTCCGCTTAATATTTTTTTGGGAGTATCCGAGCTAGTTCACGCTTGGTAGTCAGGTATGCTTGTGATGTTGTGGAGTCTCAGGGTATCAGTCGGACGTTTAATAAGAATGCTACTGGCACCATTGGTATCGGAACTCTTCGTTGGCTGCTGAAGATGGGGACGGAGCGCTTATAGGAATGCCCCGAGTGCTGTGATGTCGGTTCTTGAATCAAATCAAATCAATCAAGGTATCAGTGACTTGTTTTTTCAACCTATCTTTTTTTTGGTCGTCCCCTACCTCTTGGTGTTTCTACTTTCATGCTGTATGCTTTCGTTGCTGGCATCGTGTGATTCATTCTCATAGAATGCCCAAACTATTTCAGTCTATGATTTTTCAATGAATTTATATATAGCTTTTGTTTCAATAGGTTTAATAATTTTTTTCGTTTTTTACATGTTATATTCTAGTTTTCTTCTTCGTGTTTACCGACTGTAAGCTCTGGTGGAAAGTTCTGGTTGTTCGTCCATCTTTAGACATTAGTCTTGTTCCAGAACTCAAGTGTTACGTGCACATCCGCTTTACAGATCAAAATTACTTGTATGCAGATTGTTGGTTCCTTGCCTCTCAGGCAGATGCACTCCGACTTCGAAGGAAGCTTTCAGTTAGTCGACTCTTACAACGTTCTTGTTGGGGAGAAGTGATTCTATTCCTGTTTTCCCCATAATGGGGCCCTGGACTCACACGGGGATCTTCTAGTTTTGTTCAGGGCCTACCTAACTCAAACACCTACATCTAATTTCGTAGTGATCAGTTTTCTGTCGTGTTTACAAATAGTAGTATAATTTAAACCAAGATATCATTTAACCCATCTGGGGGGCTATTAAAGGGGGGGGGGGGTGTTTATTTACATGCTGGGTATTTATGCTTGTCAATTTTTTTTAGTTATTCAATCATCAATGTTGCATGGCCTAATGCCCATCCCACAAATTTGGAGGTTTGCAAGCATAGCCCAATTGCGAAATTATAACAGAAAGAATAAATTGATTTCATAAAAAGTATAATCGGAAACGCAACAACAAAAACACCTTTTCAAATGAGCTACAGCTCAGTCAGCTGTTTAGTGTCTCTACTGGTACATGGGACGTCGTTTACATGTGAACAGTCTACAACTGCAATTGTCAGCCCATTCACATCGCGCTGCTGATTTGGTTATGTTGACCACACTTTAAGTACTATACTTCAGACATTAGAAGCTTGTCTTTAAGTGGCCAAATTGCTGGCAAAATGAACATCGAAAGGCTGCCAGAAGCGGTTCTGTTAAAATAATGCAACGTTTACCTTTACCAGATCGCTGCCGGGCAAAGAGGTGAGATGATGACACGATAACACCTCCGTAAAATATTAAGACATAGTTAATAGTTAGCATGAGATTTGTTAGTTTATATCATAAACATATGTTGTGTAAGCTTCTATTAGAAGTTATTTCTGCGTCAAAAGTTCTAACATTTGTAGGTAGTCTCTACTTCTAGTAGTAGTTAACTTAACTGTTAAGTAGTAGTAGTACTAGAGATGTTTAGGTTAACTCAGATAAAATTTAAAGCATACATTTGAAACAGTGGTGAACACTATTTGGCTATTAGTGTGAAACTATATCCCAGTTATAGTTTTAAAAATATATGATTACCCTAAAAGTTAACGTGATATTTATCATATGAGCGTTACCACTATTAATAGTCAATAGTAAAATATGTACCCAGATGGGTTAAACAGGGTATCACAGTTTAAAAAACTGTGTTTCTTTATTACCATCCTACCCCCAGATGACGTCACAGGACAGTCCAACATTTTATAGTGTGGTAAGACTGGGTTTCCCGGCTTTCTGAAACATCTAGATCTGGCCCTAACCTGCCTACATCCCACGAGAGAGTGCAGCCTAGGTCCCATGACTGCATGCAACCTAGGTCCCACGGCTGCATGCAGCCTTTCTACCACCCCCTGAAATATTAGACTGTCCCGTGACCTGTGGATTACCCATGTTTAAGGTAGGATATTTATAAAGCACCATATTACTGCTACTAGAACCTGTTCCTCAGTCTAACAGGTACTATTTTAGTAATAAAATATCAGCAGTAGTTTCATTTTAAAAACAGTGACTCCTGTTTAATTTACTGTATTCACAGTGTATTTTGGGAGTCGCCGTGGCAGAGCGGCTGGACGCTTGCCGTGGATTGGACGATTGTGGGTTTGTTCCGTGGTGGAGCCGGACTTTGTTAAAAAATCATCTTGGCTCCCAGGTTGACTCAGCCATGAGTGGGTACCGGGTGCAGTCTCGGGAAGTAAAGGGGGCCAGCGTGATCCTGATCACATCACCCTACTTGTACCGATTAGTCTAAAAAATATAGGTCTATCCCTATATGCCCTTATACGCCTAAAGGCGTAGAAAAAGGTCCTTTACTTTTTTTTTAAACAGTGTATGTTGTAAGAAAGTATTCCCCAACAGTTCGTTTAATTTGTAATATTTCATGTCCAGAGTTTGCAAAATGTGGAACCGAATTCTTTGTGACGATTCATTATGGAGACATGTTGATCTGACTGAGTACCATCTTGATCTGAAGGCAATGTGGAAACTTGTCAGATATAGTTTTCTCCCATGTCTCTTAACATTGAAGATATGGGGCTATGCTTTTGCAGGTGCTTTTTTGTTTGTAATAATTTTTTTACTACATACAAACTTTATTGTTAAAACAGTTAATAACATTAACACTATATTGTTATATTATTATTTTATGTTCAGAGCCTAATGTTATTATTTTCTAATAATTTTCAGGCTTATTTGTTTTAGTTATTTATTAAATTCAACTAATACTGCCATAACTGTTCAAGTTATAATTCTTAACTGTTTGAGTTTAAAGTTTTACTGTGATAACTTTTTATTAAGTTCAAATTTTATTGTTACAACTGTTTTTTATATTAATATATATTATCCAAGCTATATTATTATAACTGTCCATGTATAATTGTTAAAGTCATTAAAAAAAATGTGTTATTGTTTATAACTTTATTAATTTCTAGTTATTTTATTGTAAATGTTAATATGTTCACAATATATAAAACAAGGATCAGACAAGTTGTGGCTCTGAAACCTGAGGACTAAAAGGCAAGCATTATTACAAATTTATGAAAACAACCTTACTATAAATTTTTGGACCCATCAAGATATAAACGGGAGTGAAGAAGGAAAAAACAATAAAATGCATAATTTGTTTAAATCACCATTCACCATAAGGGCTATTAGACTGAAATTGCTGGGGCATGTAGGGAGATTGGCAGATGACAGATAGGCAGAAACTGGTTGGCAGAGAGGCAGAAACTGGTTGGCAGATGACAGAGAGGCAGAAACTGGATGGCAGAGAGGCAGAAACTGGTTGGCAGATGACAGAGATGCAGAAACTGGTTGGCAGATGGCAGAGAGGCAGAAACTGGTTGGCAGATGGCAGAGAGGCAGAAACTGGTTGGCAGATGACAGAGAGGCAGAAACTGGTTGGCAGATGACAGAGAGGCAGAAACTGGTTGGCAGATAACAGAGAGGCAGAAACTGGTTACACAGTGGAGGTGAATGGCCATAGATCACATGGCAGACCAAGAAGATGGTGGAAAGATCCAAGCAGACCTAAAACACTTGGTGTCACCAACTGGAAAGAAAATGCCAGTCACTGAGATGAATGGAGGTGGATCATATCTGCGACAGTGAGCCTTAAGGGCTGAAGAACAGGAATATGTTCACGTTATGCTGCTGGAACTGCTTATTACATACTAATGAAATGATTGTTGACAGTGTTTAAATTTTAGTTTACGTAGTTGAAATTGTTTACTATGTTCAAGTTATATTGTAATAATAATTTATATGTTAATATAAACAAGTTATAACAAGTTATATGTTAATAGTTTATTTGGCTCAAAAGTAATCATAATCATTATTATGATTATTGTAATTGTAATTTCCCACATTATCGGTTACATTCAGGTTACATTCAATTCCCATTATGGTGAAAAATGAATAAAACCACTGTCTTTTAACAAGCAAGTTATAAGAGTCAACTAATTATGGATGTTTACTTCAAAGTTAGAGCATATCAGCGATCAACTAGCAGTCTGCATACAAATAAGGCAGATCTTTAAAATGGATGTGCATGCAAATCTCAGGTTCAAGAACAAAACTAAAGTCCAGAAATGGATGAACAAGCAGAACTCGCAACACACCATTGTACGGCGATCTTCTGTGCATAGATTATTCCGTTGAAATGTCGTCCGAGGTCCATGCCATACTAAGTCCAAGTAACTTATTACTCTAAGGGTAACAAATGTCAAAAACCGATGACAGGCAGAAGAACGCCACCAACAAGGTCAACTGTTGAAACTTCTACATTTGAGAACACATCGTTGACATGCAATATCAATACGTTTATTCAACAATTCTCTACAGATATAATGTGTGTCCATGAAATAAATATGTTACAATCACTGTACTCAACGACGGTAGGATAATTACTTTCCTCCAACATGGAGCTCAGAGACTTTGCTCTCCTGCGAACTGCTGCATCAGGATGACGGTAGGATAATTCCTTTCCTCCAACATGGAGCTCAGAGACTTTGCTCTCTCGCGAACTGCGGCATCAGGACATATCAATGCAAGTCTCAGCCCTTCCTACCTTTTTCTTGTAACTGTCTTCTGTCGTGACGTTGTGTCTCTCGTCATATCTCATGTTCATAAGCGGTGGTCAATAGTGTGAATCTTCGAATCGCGCACAACAACCATATGTGTGCAGCTTATGTCTGTGTACATCAACACTGCACCGCCACACATGGTGTGTTATTACATATTTCCTGTTTGACCTAGGAATGCACCAAAAAAAATTATAACCAAACATTTTAAATGCAGCACAATATATGATGTATCTTTAAAAGTCAAACGCTGAGGCTGTTTTCACTGTGATTATTGTGCAAATCTGTATGCTACTTTGCAGCCCTCTGGAGCTGTAAGAGTTAAGCTGGCTGGTGAGTGTACTAGACATGCACTATCCCAGCACATATATGGCATTTTAAAAGAATTCAGTACAAAATATCCATCTTTGCACGAACTGAATGATTTCTCTAAAGATAAGATTGTGTTTTTAGCTTACAATTCATCTGTTTAGTTAATGATTAGAAAGACAGCAAATCAAATGGTTTGCCCATTTGGAGAGAATGCCTTCTGATGCTATACATTCAAGGCTTATACCAAAAGAGGAGAGGGACGTAGAGCAAGGGGCAGACCAAGAACAAATGGAAGGATAACATCAGAGACACTCTAATGTACCATGATATATCTTTGGTCAGAAAAGCATGAAGCAGGAACTCTTATCTCCCTCGAAACCTGAAGCGGTAAAAAAGGACATAAAGAAGAAGAAGTTAATGATTGATCAACTTGTAAACATTTCTTCCCAACAAAAAACTGTTGAGGGAAGAAGACAATATCTTCTGTGTGCTCAGTCGATTTCCGTGTGTAAATTTGTCTTTATTTCTCCAAGTTGTCTTTTCCTTGCTCTTTGTTTTTCTTCAAAATGGCTTGTTGTGGTAGTTGGCACCTGGACATTCATCTATCGTCCTTTATTGAAGTGTGACACAGTTGTATCTTCACATCCCCCAAGAAATAGATGTGCCTAATTCGGACATAGTGTATTATGGATATAGTTTGTAGCTATCTTGAATCGTATTTAAGAACAAGGCCCGTGATGTAACAATTACACAAGAGTTTGTTTATTAACAATATTGTCAAGACAAACAGGATGAATCATTTCAATAACCAATAGTATAGGAACACTTCATTATCTTGTTACTGGCTATTCTTATGTCTCTCTATGAGTTCCTTAATCACTGTTCTAGCTAAACTCCAAGTTTAACATACCTCTTCTAACAAAAAACAGCTCTAGTTTTCCCCAACTGCCCTCTCAAGCAGCTCGCTCTAACTGTCCTTCTCCCTTCCGCCGCTAGCCACTCACCGCCTTCCTCCTACTCATTCCCGCGCTTCCTACTCTCTCCGCGAGGGTTCTCAATCATTCCCCTGTCATCTGTCTCTGGTGGTCACGTTTGGATAAACGTATCTATTCAACTGGTCACAGTGCATCTGGTTTTATCTGTATCGCTGGTCGGCCAGCTTTCTAATCACTGTTTTCTGTCATGCCAACTAGTGAGGGATAGGCGTGCCTTTATGCTGATCTGAGATGTATGCTTTATTCATTTAACCCCTTTCTGCTTATATTTCATTACAGAAGCTTAAGGTTGATTTCACTCAAAGTGCTCTTCTAATTGCTTCATATTTATCTCTCCCATTTACTCAAGCAGCTCTTCTAAAACATCTCAACATGTCTAATTTTCCACTTGTCAGTTGTATAAACAGTCCTCATTTAATGCAGGTAACATACTGTTGGTCAACATGGAATTAGCTTTAATAAAGATCCCTTTTCATGCCTTGAGGCGCATCGGTCATATAGGAAGAACACCCATATTTTTACCGACCAATTGGCCCTAGGTGGGTAATGTGGTCAGCTGGGCATACATCCTGGTACCCATTTGAGGCTGGGTTGACCTGCCATACCATGATAAAAATCCACACAGAAATTAGCTTTGGTAGATACATATCTTTGTTTCAGGTGGGATTTACCTGTACATCATGAGTTGATTTTTTTCCTCAGTTTGTCCATTTGATGTCGAAATGTACCCTAGATATTCTGAGTCATAAAAAAAAAAAAGTAAATAACCATTTTCATTTTCTGCTAGACTCATATTTTGTCAACTGTTTGGCTTTATATTAGTGACATGGTCACTTGGTGACATGGTCAGTAGGTGACATGGTCAGTTGGTGACAGGGTCAGTTGGTGACATGGTCAGTTGGTGACATGGTCAGTATCATGCGGGCCACCATTGCTTTCCACGACTTTACTTGGTATTATTAAATAATTGTAACAATAAAAATTAACATTATTTTTCTCACCATAACCATAAAACTGATAATATATTATTATTATTATTATCATGAAAATTATTCTAATAATTTGAAACAGATGACGGCAGTGAAGAAAAGCCCTCAGTTTCTAAAGCCCTACTAAGAGGACTGTCCACTCGCTGTCCAAACCTGCAGCTTCTGCATCTTTTTGAACATAAAACAAGCAGCATTTCATTTGAGCATCTTCCTGCATCCATCACATGCCTAGAAATGGTCAACAACAAATGGTGGCCTCGATGGCTGAAAGATAAACAGATGCATCTGCCAAAGCTGGAACACTTGAATCTGGATGAGTCTGAACATGTGAGTGACCTTGATTTAGAAGACATTGCTATGTTCAAGAATTTAAAGTACTTATCGCTTTATCGATGCTGTAACATAGGGTCAACGGGTGTTACAACCATTGCTGAAAATTTGTCAGAGTTAGAAGTGTTAAACATTGGCCATGCTTCTGTAGATGATTTAGCAGTCTACTACATTGCACTGCACTTGAAGAAGCTAAAGGAATTATTTCTTGAAAAATGCAGAAAACTTACTGACATAGCTCTTTTTTCAATAGCTGAAGGACTTCTGGTATTAGACACGCTGGACATTTCATTTTGTGAAGAAATCACAATTATAGGTTTAGAATTTTTGATTGATACCAATTTATCGTTGCTGATTGCTAAACATGCATGGTACAGATATTCTGAGGAAGATATACAGAAATTTAAAAGGGGTTTTTCCGAAGATTTTACTTTGGTGTCATTTAAAAACAGAAATTGAAAAGGGGTTTTCCAGAGTAATTTAGTTTGGTATCATGTAAAATCACATTTTGTAAAAGGGAAATTTTCTGAAAATTTTGTTTTGGATAATTTAATAATATGTTCTTGTAGTTGTACTGCTGTATGTGCTATGATTGCCTGGTCATAGGCGAAAAGCAATTCATTTAGTAGTTCACTGATGTTGTCGCCTTCATTGGTGTTAGCTGATTTGTAAATTTGGTCACCATATGTGATGAACAGTAGTGATGTCAAAACATACACCTGTCTCGGATCTAATGCCTGAGAGAGAGAGGGAGAGATTAATTATATTGTTCTTTAAACCTGAGTTTTTTTCTGGAAAGTTTCTTCAATTTTTTTGGATTCATCTTATGCAGAGGAGCATCTTATACACTGTTAAATATGATAATTCAATTTGTTTAGTAAAAATTAACATCATCATCAAGTGCTTTGCCGACTGGCATAGGCGATCATGCCTCTCTAGTATCTTTAATCTGCAACTGCGTGTATCAGTTTGTTGACACCTCTCCATGCCATGATAAAAGGCTGTCAACAATCTTCTTGTGCTGTCTTCCTCTGTCTCTTTCCATAAGTCTTTCCAGTGGTCACAACATGTTCCACTTTCCCTCTTCTCATTACATGAAGAAGTAACATAGTTTATTTAAAAAGGTATGTTATATAGGTACATTTACTGATAAGAGAAAAAAATAACAATATGGGAAAGCATTGTAACCATTGGTAAGACTAGCTGGAAAAGGAGAAGGAGTGTTTGAGCTGAGGGAAATGATACTAGACAATCTGGTTTTATGGCACAGAAGAATTCCTTGCCAGGTTTTTTATCCGAGGGCTGGCATGAAGAAGTTTTGATCATGTCATTTTATCACGCATGTGACTTTGTGACTGTCCAACAATTTTTTTTTTAAGGAAAAAAATGGAAGAGGTTCCCCTTTCCTCCCACTTAAAAAAAAAAGATGTGAATTATATGTACATTCTTTTGTAAGTAGCCTTTGACATAACAGTATCAAAGATGTTCACACACATAGTGATAAATAACACTAGATAATGAGGTTTGTGAAGAGGCACAATTACCGACACCAATGAACAGTGGAATTAGATCAAGAAGTAAATGGCATAATGTTTATACTGTTTAATAGTTATATAGAATGCAAGTCCATCATGACCTGCTCTTTTCGACATGTTACATAATGATTATTATTTCTGCTGAGAATTTATAAAACATAAATTGTGTATTGTCACTTTCTCCAGAAGTGAGAATGTATGTCTTAAAATCTGTTTGCCATGACCACACTAAAGGTTGCTCTTATGAGTCTCCTACATTGTTTTGTGTCCTTCCAGGCATACATCATATAAGATTGTTGCATTCCATGTATTGGTGTTATCTACCTGCCTGCAATGTTTTCTCACTTCTAGGTGCTTTATCGCCACCATTCTAGTCAAAACCTCATGAAACATCATTCTATTTTGCTAAAAGAAAATCTTGAATGTCTTGTCTTTTCTGTGCTTCAGTGTTCTTTAATGTCCTCATGACATGAGTTATACTGAACTGTTTTATCAAGCCTTGAACAGTAGCCAACGCTGATAATTTTCTTCTGAGTTTGCTTTCTCTAGGCTTCTATTGTCTACCTACAAGGTAACAGTTTTATGTTCCTTTGCTTCCTATCCTTTAACCCAGGGCTATGCAACTGACGGCCCATGGGCCACATCCGGCCCGCAGAGGCCTAGCAAGTGGCCCACGGATCACCTGCCAGTTTTATTGTACTAATGAACTTTCTATGCTGTGGCTTAGGGCACTGGCCTGCAACAATTCCTATTTTCCAACATTTTGGCCCCTGAGTCAGTTTAGTTGAATAACCCTGCTTTAACCAGTACTCTACATGGGAAGTCCTACCTTTGACCTAACCACCACTGTTTGTTCTCTTGGAGTCATTGGAACTCACATAAATTTCAAGTTTTCCTAATATGTACACAATTTTCTTATCATGATTCATGTTTATACAGTATTTTGATAACAGATATTTGATTAGTTGTACATAAATGCATATAAATATTTTGATGTACACTTATGTTTCATATTTGGTTAGGTGTATTCAAATACCTGTAAATATTTCATAATTGAGCATCATCACTCCTAATAAAATATATTTGTTTTCTGACAGTATTCATGTTCACTCATTTGTCTTTTTACTTTGTTTAATGCATATTGTTTGTAATACAGAATATAAACTCTGAAACAGAATGGAGTGGCTTTAAGTTAAAGCATTTGCTTCCACTTTAAGCAAACTTTAAGTCGAAGAGTGAACTGTATCGTGTTCTGTTTATAAAAAAATAAAAAGAAAGAATGAAGTGGATGTTAAACTGACCTCAACATCTACAACCTGTCTGTAAATAACCGTATAGAAGTCCTTAGAGACTCTGCCGTCCTCTATTATCTAAGTACCTGAGATCATGTGGCGTAATAGTAGAGTTAATTTAGTAGTATGGACAATAAGTTTCTATACAGCAGTACTGGGCAGCATCAAACGAAAGATGTGTCTTAGAGGTGAAGTACATATAGAAAAATCTAAGATAAAGCACTTATAGAACAAGCAAAACTGGCATTTAATACAATAAAAAACCTCATACAATAAATCTTGGTCATGGGGGGGGGGGGGGAATTTGGGATTTTTGCCAGGAACCAAACCCACGACCTTCCGATCTTCAGGCGAGCGTCTAGCCTCTAGACCACGGCGATTCTCTAACAGGTGGAGTGAGGCTTTAAAATAACGAAATATTACGTCCCATTTTGGGACGGTGTCTAAGTTTGAACACAACTCAATGTTTCCACTATCATTATATAGAGAGATTCAGGTCACAGTATACACGCGAACAGCGTTATGAGATCTCTAGGTTTAGGTTAGTTGTGTATCCTTTACAGGACGTTGCAGAACCAACCCCATCAGCCCCTGGCTGTTGTGTGGTTTCACTAGGCAAATTTACATTCAGTAGTTTGCCATTGCCTCCTGGACGGTCGGCTTCCTGATACCACTGTCGAAACCAACGCGAGGCGTATGGCCCGCAGCTAGGATCGAACCCGGTACCCCGGCATTACGAAGCGTTCTCATCGACTTAGCCACAGAGCCGACTTACGAGATCTCACCGGAACAAAAAAGCTAACTAGCCTCTAGCCACAGTGACCTAGTACCTGGGCAAGCCTGCAATCCTCAACTCTCTAATCTTTACTCAATATCCTTCACAGTTATTTGTGTATGACGATGCTACTCTCATGCTAAAAAAAAAAAAAAACAGTTACACAATCACTTATACAATAATATACACACCTCCACGTACCTCTATTTTTCTAATCACTGAACTTATTATATAAAGTGAGGAAGAGTTGTGCAATGTCGTGCTCTTTGCACTCCACAGCGCGCTGCTGGTACCCGGCATCAGGTCCGTTGAACCAGGTGTTGATTTCCTCCGCAATTCAGTCGAGTCCAGACTTTGCTTGCTAGGAAAGGCAGATCCTAACTCACCTAAGGCTACTAGCCCATTCGGCTACCCTTACCTGGTTTAGCCCGCCTGTCAAAACCGTTGCCGTGGGGGTGGCCGCTGCCGCAAGCTTGCAGCTACGTGGAGCCACAGGTGAGAGCTGGATGCCAGTTTTGGGCAAGAGGCCTGTTTCTGCTAAAAAAATTTGGCAACCACGTCTCACGTAGACTTTTTTTAAAAAAAAGAATGTCTGGTTACATTCCGCTACGCTGCTACATGAATTATAATCATAATTCCAAGCCCAGACTAGAATTTCTTCTTCTTCTTCTTCTTCTTAGTTATATCATCATCATCATCATCATCAGTTCTCGTTATGCCTAGTGGCACATGAGGCTTCAGAGAGGACTTTTCATGCTTTCCTGTCCTGTGCAATCTTCAGTGTAGTTTTCCATGTCAAAGATACCGCACTCGGGCCACTTTCCATCCTTCGTCTCCATGTTGTTTTTTTGGGCGCCGCGTTTTCTCTTTCCCTCTGGTGTCCATGTGAGAGCTGTTTTTGGCAGGATTCATTCTCATAACGTGGCCAAGCCATTTCCATCTTCTCTTGGTTATCATACTGTCTAAAGTTTCTTGGTTTGTGACTTGAAGTAGTTTAGTGTTTGAGATTGTATCTGGCCAGAAAATTTTGATAATTCCACGTAGACATGTGTGGTAGAAGATGGACAGCTTGTGTACATCCTTTTTGGACATTCTTCAGTATTCCGCTCCATAAAGAAGAACTGGCAAAATGTTGCTCTTGTAGAGTTTCGTTCTTCTGCAGTTACTGTTGGATTTCCAGATTTGCTTCATCCTTCCAAAAGCAGCTCTAGCTTTGTTCTTTACTCAAAGGTAATGTAACTGTTTATACGCACCTTTTTTAAGTATGTTACTTTTTACTAGACAATATAACAAGAGAAATACAAGTTAAGAAGTTCAAGAACAGAAGATGCTTTAGAGAAAAAAGAAATACAAATCTTACAATAAATATCTTTACAAATACAAGATCAGTCCTCCGTGTGGGTTCCCGGGCCCCATTATAGGGAAAACAAGAATAAACCCACTGCCTACCCTAAAGCATGTCGTAAGAGTCGACTAATTGGGAGCTTCCTTCGAAGTCGGAGTACATCTGCCTGAGAGGCAAGGAACCAATAGTCTGCATACAAATTAGATCTGTCAAACGGATGCACACGCAACGCTCAGGTTCTGGAACAGGATTGCAGTCCAGAAGTTGTGGAAAAGCCAGAACTTTCCACCGGAATTTACAGCTGTTGATTGCGAAGAAGAAGAAGATTAGCTGAAATAAGTCTCAGAAACTGTCTTCCTGAGGTTCTCTTTGTAAGCTTCTTGCAGTCCATCTGTTGATGTTGTCTTCTTCTTCTTCGCATTCACTGGCTGTAAACTCCAGCAGAAAGTTCTGGTTGCCCAGAACTTGCCTCTTAACTTAAACCTTCTTCCAGAACTTGAGTGTTACATGCA